TGTATTGGTCTAGTTTACGAATTGCCTTAGTTAGGAACTCCTTCTGTGTGTCATTCGGGGCGTACAAAGAGGCAATCGTCATCTGGAGACCGTTTAGGGAGCCCACCAATATGAGTAGCCTACCGTCTTTACCAATGTATTGTTTGGTGAGCGTAAAAACCCAGTCCTTATGGAAGTAAATTGAAACCCCTTTAGATTTTGTGTTAGCCATGGCATGGTAGGCCTGCGGGAACTGTTTGACCCTAAAGTTTGGCGGTTTGCGCTTGCAAAAATGAGTCTCTTGTAGGCATATTATCGCCGCCTTGGTTTTGGTCATTTCTTGGGCTGCCAACCTGCGTTTGTGAGGGCTGTTGAGACCCTTAACGTTCATGGAGAGAATTTTTAGCGTGTTATCCATTTGGTGTGGGTAGTGGCGTGCTTAGGCGTGAGAGGGGTGCATGACTGGATAGTAGCATAGCTTGGCTCTGGGGGGACATGTCTGGGGAAGTAGGGGGTAAAATTGGGGGAAACATAAACAACCAGTTTGGAACCAAACTAAAGTATTTACACAGCGCCTTCATTTCAATCGGCGCCTTGTCCGGATGAGACGTGGGCCAGCATCTTGTGCTGATGCCAACGTTCATCCGTGGGTACGCCCGGTGGGAGTGGGGTGTGGATGACTTACATGCTAATGACGGTGACACAGCCCTCTCATGGCACTCCTCACTATTTTCACATGTACAGTACAGTAGTATTAATAAAACATTTCAACATTATGCAGTGGAACAACGCTCCCAGGATCCCTCCCCCCGCCATCATTATGTCTAGATAGGGACAACACGCGGCCCAAGTATCAATTGAATTATATACACTTTCCCCATACGTGTGGTATTGGATCACATGTCATATAGTTACGTGGGTTGGGTGACACCACTTTCCCCATTCAGCTGTCCGGCAAGGGAGAGAGTCCTAGGAGTACAGTCCTTTACGCTTTGGTCGGCGATCCCGCCATCCGCCATTCTCCCAGTTGTCGTGGTGGTGTTGCAGTAGCGGCCGCTACCGTCGCTTGTGCTGGAAACAGTCCCCATTCTCTTATAAGGCGCATGCCCACCTCTGGTTCATTTACCACGTGATTTTTGCCATTCTTCCATACGATTATTTTCGTCGGGTGTCCCCATCTGTACTGAATGTTGTTGTTTCGCAGCGTCTTCGTCACCGTAATGAATTCCCTTCTTCGGGCCATTGTTAAGGCCGACAGGTCCGCATATATACTGAGTGCCGTGTATGGTTCAGGCAGCTTGTCCAGTTTGCGGGACGCCGTTAGTAGGGCGTTCTTAGAGGTGAAGTAGTGAAATCTGGCAACTACATCGCGAGGTGTATCCTGTGCCAGTCTCGGTGGCCGTGGGAGCCTATGGGCCCTATCCAGGAGCCATTCTCCTTCTGCGGTATCGGGTTGCAAAGTTGCGCAAAGCCTTTGGAGATATGCTGGGAGTTCTTCTGTGCCCACACGTTCCGGTATTCCGCGGAACCTAACATTGTTCCTGCGTGACCGGTCCTCTAAATCAGCTAGTTTACGTTTGAGCTGAGCTTGTTCCTCCATTAAATGCTGTACTGTGTTTGTCAGCGTGTTCTGTTCAGTGCACATGTCTTCAGTGCGTGCTTCTAGTTGGTTAGTACGTTCTCCTAGGTCAGATATCTCCCTCTTGATCTCACTGGTCGCCCTCTTGAGGTCAGATTGCAGTGTGACTCGGAAGTCCTGCAGCATAAGAAACAACCGTTTCTCCGTTACCGGTGCATCTGTGTACGGGCTGGAGTCCCCTTCGGGGTTTGGTGAGCTCTCAGCATGTTGTGAGCAGGCCTGCTCGTCGTCGCCATCTTGTGTAGGCCGCGCCCGGTCCTTTCTCGCGGGCCGAATCTGGTCTGTTAATTTTGTTTGTTTGGCTGGGGCCATTGTAGGGGTTAATATCCCAGACTGGCAGTCGCTGGAGGGCTGTGTATGCTGCAGGTAATGGGCTTGGAAGTCATCCAAAGCACGGAGCTCTCACTCCATGCGACCGCTCGGTTCGGCAGTTAGCCACGCCCCCTTTATTTTTTTATTTTAATATTATTTTATTTTTATTTTAATATTATAAAATGTAATTGTTTAATGTTTTTTTTGTCCCTCCTCCCAGCTTGTTGCCTGGCCAGGGAGGAGGGCTATATGATTCCCTGGTGGTCCAGTGGTGTGTACTGTGCAGACGAGTCAGCTAGAGCTGATCTTAAAATGTGGCAGCTGTTCCCATCCTCTTGGAATGGCAGGTCGCTATTTGTTCGGCTTATACTAGAGTCAGTGTCTCTATTATGACAATTTACATTGCCATAATACAGACCAGGACCGCCGGGCTTGTAATGTTGGGGGCCGGCAGCAAGCTGTTACTTACCTTTGTTGCAGCTCCGGTCAGCTCCCTTCACCTCCGTTCCCTTCCGCTCACAGTGTAAGTCTCGCGGTCTGCGTGCCGAACAAATAGCAACCTGCCATTCCAAGAGGATAGGAACAGCTGCCACATTTTAAGATCAGCTCTAGCTGACTCGTCTATGGGAGTCGTGGAGTCGTCGTCAGGGAGACCGTGCAATAGAGAGAGGATTCTGTAAATGAAAGAACTGCCCTGTGGAACTATTCTCATAGCAAAATTGAGTGAACCGAGTAGTGACTGTAGCTGTTTCCTGGTGCAAGTGCCTTGAGACATGCAGATGTTTATGTAAGAAAGAATTCTGTCTACTTTCTCTTGGGGCAGGCTGGCCTGCATAGAGACAGAATTGAGCGTAATGCCCAGAAAAGTAATCTCTGTGTTGGGACCTTTTGCTTTGTCCTGGGCTAAAGGGACTCCTAAATCTTTAAACAGAGTGAGCATGTGATTAAGGCTGTGTGGTGTACAGTGGTGTGGTTCGATGGTGAGGAAGCCGTCTAAGTAGTGTATGACTACTGGACATCTGCAGAAGTTCAGGAGTAGCCAGGTTAAAGTTTTGGCGAATACGTCGAATAACCTGGGGCTACTTTTGGAGCCGAAGGTAAGTCTGGTAGCGAAATAGTAGCTGTCTTGCCACTTAACTCCATGCAGATGCCAGAGTGACTGATGAATGGGAAGTAATTTAAAGGCGTTAGTCATATCAGATTTACTTAACCAGGCAGCCTTCCCGGAATTAATGATTGCTTGTATGGCATCATCGATTCTGGCGTACTGCAGGGAAAAGTCTTCTGATGGGATCAGTGCAATTAGGCTAGGTGTAAAAGATGAGTGAGGTGCCGAAAAGTCAATAATCAGTCTCTTTTTATTGTTAAATTTCCCTGTGGCAATTCCTAGTGGGTTTGTTCTCCAGGATGTGAAAGGTGGTGTTGTGAAAGGGTCTATCATGAAACCATTGGTGACTTCTTTCTGTAAGAGTTCTTGTATGGTGTCTGGATCTGTGAGTGCTGACTGTAGGTTGGGGCATGCCAAGATACCTGTGGGGAGTGACACAAACCCTGTGTGACACCCGTTAGTGAAACCAGCCATGAGAAATTCCACCAGATGTAAAGAAGGATGATTATTTATTTATAAAATATTTTACCAGGAAAGATACATTGAGATTTCTCTCGTTTTCAAGTATGTCCTGGGTCCACAAATCATTGCATTGTTACATTAGGGTACAATAAAATACAAAAACAATATTAATACACAATAAATACAAAAATTAACATAGAACAGGTAGGAAATATATAATCAACCATGACAGGTGCATTCTGTTTTGAGGTATGTAGAGAGGGATCTCTTAAAGGACTTTAGGCTTAGGGATGATTTTAAATTGTGCGGGAGGTCGTTCCACAATTGCGGTGCTCTGTGGGAGAAGGAGGATTGGGCCGTTTTCTTTTTGTATTGAGGTAGACTAAGTAAAGTGTTGGTACTGGATCGGAGCTTATAGGAAGTGGGAACAGCTGAGGAAAGCATTTTGTTCAGGTAGGGTGGGAGTTTCCCAGAAAAGCTCTTAAACACGGCTGGAAAGATGAAGAGTGCGTCTGGATTTCAGCGACAGACAGTTTAATTCTTTTAGCATGTCACAATGGTGGGTCCTGTAATTACACTGTAGCACAAATCGGCAGAACGAGTTATACAAATTATTCAGCTTATTAATGTGGGATTGCGATGCAGATGCATATACTACATCCCCATAATCAATGATTGGCATCAGCATTTGCTGTACAATCTTTTCCTTTACTGTAGGGCTTAGGCAGGATTTGTTTCTGTACAGGGCACCTAGTTTTGGATAAAGTTTAGATGCAAGCTTTTCTATGTGCAGGCCAAAAGATAGATTGTTCCAAAGATCATTGTGACAGTTTTGTCAGTGTTCAGGAAGAGTTAGTTTTTTGCGTTCCACCTTTCTACCTCTGTAAACTGGTCTTGGAGCACAGCCTCAAGTTGCGGTAGATTGGATTTACGTGCATAGATTACAGTGTCATCTGCGTACTTGTGTACATTTGAGGATTTGCAGACATTAGGCAGATCATTTATAAATAATGTAAATAGTAGGGGGCCGAGAATGGAACCCTGGGGAACACCACATGTGACTGGGAGAGGGAGGGAGTTGCTGTCAGAAATGGGCACATATTGCGAGCGATCCAATACATACGATCGAAACCAGGCTAGCGAACGATCATCAATACCTGAGTTTTTGAGTTTGTGCAGTAGAATGTTGTGGTCTACTGTGTCAAAGGCCTTAGCAAAATCAAGGAAAATAGCTCCAGTTAGGGCTCCTTGTTCCATGCCAGTTTGGATGTCATTGCAAACTTTTAAGAGGGCAGTTGTAGTGGAGTGATTCTGGCGAAAGCCCGATTGATCAGGGGTCAGATAGTTAAATTGTTGGTAGTACTCACAAAGTTGCGTATGGACACATTTTTCTAAGATTTTTGACAATACTGGGAGCAATGATATTGGGCGATAGTTAGAAACCAAAGTAGTGTCACCACTTTCATGGATAGGCACTACTCTTGCAGTCTTCCAAAGTTTGGGTATGTATCCAGACACCAAGGATTCATTAATTAGAGTTGAGACGGATTTAGCAATTGCCGGCGCACTGAGCTTCAACAGCATTGCTGGGATTTGATCGGGTCCGGACTGGTTTTTCATTTTTAGATTATTAAGATGTTTTTTAATGACACTAATAGGTACAGGTCTAAAAATAAACGTATCTATATTGGGCCTTTGCAAATTTAGTGTGACCTGATCCACATTAGTAGTTTCAGGATGCGTATCATTTATTAGCTTGGCAATCAGGGCAGTAGAGCATCCGACAAAATAATTGTTAAAGGCATTTGCTACATCTAAGGGAAGTTGCAGGGTTTGGTTACCCACTTTGACAGTGGAGGGTTGGGAGTGGATTGGGGGAGTTTGTAGTTTATTTATGACTTTCCACAAGTTTCTAGGGTTTGAGATGTTATTGTTCAGATTTTCATAGAAATATTGGGCCTTGGCCAATTTTGTCTGTTTTGTGCATATATTTCGCCATTGTCTAAATGCACAGTGATCATTCATAGAGCCAGTACGCTTAAACTTTGACCACAAAGAATCCCGAAACTGGTACATTTGGATGAGGTCAGCTGTGATCCAGTTCATATGTGCTCCTTTTACCCTCACCTTACGCAGCGGGGCATGCAAATTCCAAATTTGTAGGAGTTCAGACTGAAAGAATTCAACAGCACAGTCTAGATCTGGGATAATGTTTAATCTGTGCCATGGGAGGTTCTTGATGTCATTGAGAAAGGATTCAAGATAAAAAATTTTGAAGGACCTAGTTATTTTAACATTGGGAGAAGATTTAATAGCCTTTATTTTGCGCACGCAGTACACTAAACAGTGATCACTGAAAATGTTTGGGAGAACACCGGCCTCCTGGATTCTATCAGGAGAAGTGGAGAGAATCCAATCGAGCAGGGTATGGTTATGGCTTTTAATGTTTACGCGAGTTGGGGAGGAGATTAATTGCGTTAGCTGCAATGTATTAAACAGCGTGCAAGAACTATTATTTTTAGGATTCAGCCAATCAATATTAAAATCTCCAAAGACCAACAGTTCACTTTTTGGGTTTTGAGCTATGGTTTCACTAAGGAGATGGGCTATGTCAGAAAGGGAATGCACAGGGGAGCTAGGTGGGCGGTAGATTCCTGCAACAAAGATTGATTTACTGCATGGATCTCAATTGTGCCAGAAAGGAAATCAAAGGTGGCAGGAGGACTAAGGTTTTGTAAAGGGGTAAACTTTATGGAATTGTCAACATAAATGACAATGCCTCCTCCTCTCTTTGCTCTGTCATTTCTTAAACATGAATAACCCTGTATTGCAATGGCGGTGTCTGGTATTTTAGCTGTTTACCATGATTCTGAGAGCACAATGATTTTTGGTTTGTAAAGGTAACACCAGGCTTGTAGTGCGTAAACTACGGATGTTGCAGTGCACAAAAGAGAGGCCTTTTTTAGTGGGGAGATTAGGACTAGAATTAGCTGGGGGACCAGGGTTAGACTCCACATCATTTGCAAGGGCATACTTTATAATTTTGTGAGATGGGGGTAGGAGGGCTATTTTTTATAACTCTCCACCAGCACTCAGCAGATAAGTTAAAAGAAGAGAGCAGGCCATGGTGTATGATAATTTGTGTTCCAGTTTGAGGTGTGTGCTTATGCTGGTAGTGGTGTGAACAAAACTGGATTAAGAAAAGGGTTATTAAGAATAACAGTATGGTTATATTAGGATTAATGTTAGTAGTATGAGGTGTGTGGTTGAAAATGAAACAGAAATTGTGAAAAACATAAATTAAATAGAGGTATATAGTTTTGGTGTGATAGGTTTATTTGTAGTGAGAGAGGGTATGTGTTCTATAGGGTTAAGAGATTGAAAGGGTGTGCTGATCAGTGTTTGCACCTGACATTTCAGTAGACTGAAAGTTGTGTGGGAGACTATCTATAAATGAGGAAATGTCCATGGGGTGGGTGGGCGAGGGCTAGGGTGGGAGGGGAATCAGTCTTCCAGAAGGCTACCTTTTTCAGCTGGCCATGGAACAGCTGATGGAGCTCTGAGTTATATGCTGGACTGGGTATGTTTAAAAATCAGACTGTGGGAGAGAGATGTATATTAGGGTCAGATGGGCTAAGAGATGGGGGGGGTGCATAGATGGACATTTGATTTAAGGTCATTTAAGGAAAAACAAAAGCTAAGATTGAGAATTACAGAGACAGATAACGTTGCAAATTAGGTATGTTTATTGGAGTGGAAGATTTTTTTAGGGTACAATCTGTTTGGGCACATCGTTTTGGCGTGTGCCCTGAAACAAACTGAGCACACGTGAAGCACCCTACAAGCACTATTACTACAACCCCCAGCATTGAAATTATTGCAGACTTGTGCTTTACCCAGAAAAACAATTGGCCTGCCTAATTTGTCTTTCACTTCCCTCTGGGTAGTGGTGGACTGATAATCGGTGTTGGCGCTACTGGTAGAATGGATTGCTACATTTTCAGGACAGAAATTGATCGAATGAGCTGCCGATGAGCATATGGCGCAGGAAGGAGTTTTGAGACCTGCAAAATGCATCAGAAACAATTCTGTGTCTAACTGTCCCCAGTCTGTGATTGTATCCTATTGAGACAGTGATGCGGCAGATCTGGATGTGAATGACTTGTGATAATCATAAAAGGCATAGCCCCCGTACTTATATGCTAACTCTATCACTTTGTGTAGGTATAAGTCGAGCTCCTCTCTACGGTGGGGAAAAGCTGTACAGATCACGTCTGTTATGCTACTAGGGTTTTTAGAATTGGAACTCAACTGCAGCTTGTAGAACTCCTTAATTACAATTAATTAGTGAAGAAACTGAGAATCTTTAAATTATCAATACTGTAGCTTTAAGAAAAGAGAGGATTGCTGGCAATTAGAGAATCAAACAAAGTTTTAATGATTGTGATAAACTTAAGAGAAAAGTATATAGGTAATAATTCAATAAGAAGAAATTGCTGGTTATAGCAAACAATACAAAGTTCATCAATAAGTATTTCCTCAGAGATGTATTGAATAATATTCTTTAGGTTGATAGGAATAATTTTCAATAAAAATAGTATGCAGGTAGCAGAGAATATTTGCAAAGCAAGAAACAGTTCATAGTGGTTAAGCTTGATGGGAGTTATCCTCAATATAGTGTGTATTCAGCAGAGAGGATTTGAGCAAACAAGAAACAGTTCATTAATAACTTGGATTCCAGATAATAAATTGGAAGTTATACTTAAGATTAATATGAGTTGTCCTCCAAGAGATCAGTATTAGAGTCCACTTGTTATGGTAAAGTGTCCGTTCTCCAGTAATCCTCTAGCGGATGAAGCATAATCCTTTTATCGTCAAAGGTTTAGGAAGGCTTGTGCTAGAAGCTTGTGGAGCCGGCGTCTATACCTGGAAGTAGGTCCCACAATCACCAAGCGCTTTCTCTCTGGCACGGTCTCTCTAAGTAGTGTCAGAGAGCCGCGTCAGAAGGGGGCGGGGCCGGCTCCGCATAGCGGGAATGCCGAACCCGAAAGAGATACCGTATGACAGGACCCCCCACCTAAGGAGCACACTCCGGGTGCTACTACCTTGGTTTCTGAGGGTACCGTTTGTGAAAGGCAGAAATCAACTTAATTGCATGAATATCAGAAGAATTTTCCCAGGTGTTATCTTCAGCTCCATAACCCTTCCATTTAATAAGATATTGTAAGTTACCTCTTGAATTTTTTCAATTTGATATTCCATTTCACCTTGAACTTCAATGGGGTCAGGCCTTGACAATTGTTCCCTATGGAAGGGATCAGGGAAAAAAGGCTTTAAAAGGGAAACATGAAAAACAGGATGAAGTTTAAGTGAAGGAGGAAGTTTCAATTTCACTGCATTTTTATTAATAATGGATTCAATTTGAAAAGGTCCAAGGAAAAGAGAACTCAGTTTCTTTGAAGGACAGCTAGTAGAAATGTTTTTTGAAGAGAGCAAAACAGTGTCACCAATTTTATATTTAGGAGGAGCTCTCCTTTTAATAACATAATTCCGTTTATGTAAGATCATAGAACTTTCAAGGTTTTTCTTTAATTGATTAAACAATGAGGACATTTCCATGTTTTGAATAGAAACCATCGGATTAGAAGTTGTCTTGGGATCATCAGGGAACAAGGAGGGATGGAATCCATAATTTGAAAAGAATGGAGTCATTTTGCTGCTTGAATGTATGGAATTATTATAGGCAAATTCAGCCATGGGTAACCAATTACTCCAATCATCTTGTAAATACGTGCAGTAACAACGAAGGTATTGTTCCAGACATTGATTGACTCGTTCGGTTTGGCCATTGGTTTGAGGATGGTATGCAGATGAGAGTTTACGTTGGATTCGAAGTGAAGAACACATTTCCTTCCAGAAACGTGAAGTGAATTGGGAACCTCTCTCTGAGATTATTTCTTCAGGGAATCCATGCAATTTGATTATATTGTCTATGAAGACTTTGGAAAGTTCAGAGGATGAGGGTAACTTTTTTTAAGGGAATAAAATGAGACATTTTCATGAAACGGTCTATAACAACGAGTATAGTGGTATATTTCTGAGAATGGAGTTCCACCATAAAATCCATAGAAATAGATTGCCAAGGTCTCACAGGGACTGGTAATCCCATCAATAATCTGTAGGGAAGGTGATGTTCTGCTTTGGATCTTTGACAAACTGGACATGATTTAACATAAGTTTCAATTGTTTTATCTTGACGAGGCCACCAATATTGTCTCGTAGAGAGTTCAATTGTCTTTTTTATCCCTGGATGTCCAGCAAGACGAGACTCATGAATTAATTTTAGAAGTTTGTTCCGTAGTTTTGGAGGAATATAAATCCTATTTTTGAAATAAAAGATTCCATCTTTTTTGAACAATTTTGGAGTAGAAGGTAGTTCAAGTTCTTTAAGAGATAATTGTTTGAGTTTATCCAATATAGTAGTTGTAAGTCCAATAATTTTATTGTTTGGCAATATTGAGAAGGTTTTCTCTTCCAAAGAAGGATTACGAGGAATTCTGGGAAGAGCATCAGCTTTTTTGTTATTAAACACATCAGAAAAATCAGAATATTGTTTCGGTATTAAAGTTTCTTGACTTAATTGAAGTATAGGAATCTGTGGGAGACAATTGTCCTTACAATACTCTGAGTCAAAGGTGAGAGAGAAGGGATCCCAATGGATGAAGGTATTATGAGTTTGTAACCAGTTGATTCTTAAGATGATTGGAAAAAGAGGGGATTTTATAATATCGAAAACAAGAAATTCTGAATGGTTATTATTGATAGTGGTCAAAATAG